ATGCATATTAGAAATCCTTTCCCCATTTCTGATTTTTTTTTGTTAAATAAAAGCTACTATTTTCAGACTTTGAAAGGGGTCCTGTGAGTAAGGTTGCCACCTTTTAAACTGGTCCCTTTAATTTCAGTTTCATCTCCAAGCAAATAACAGGTGACGTTGCTTTCTTCCATGCCATGAAAAGCTCCAGCTGCCCATTTCCACACATCAAGGCTCTATGAAACAGACATTTCTCCCCCAGCTGGTTGGCCACCCTACCTGTGAGCTGAACAACCTCAAGATTCAAATATTACCTCTGCTCTAAGAGCAATCTCAAATTACATCTGGATTGGGGGCGAATTCAGTGGGTAGAACTGTTTCTACATTCAGGGTCTAGTTTAACAACTGGTGGATCATAATCTACTGGGTTGCTCTCCAACCTAAATGGGTTCAGCAACATCATTATGATTTTCTTTTAAATTTTTTTTAAGAGAGAGAAGGAAAAAGGAAGAGAGACACATTTAGTTAAAAAACTCAAACTAGGACTTAGATCACAGGTAGGTGTTGCAGATTACTACTAACTGATAACCAAATTCAGAGCCAATTTAGAAATTTCCCCCAGATTAGATGGGCTATTTATCTGGGCAGGGAAGGAATGTGTAGCATTTGCACAGCTTACTTGAACTTAATTTTGAATACATAGGGGTGCCTCTGGCATGGCAAACCATTTTTTGTTCTGCTTATGGCAGCCAGGTGGATGACAGCAGTCTCTTAGAAATGTGGGTAAGATCTTGCTTTCCCTTCCAGTCAAGTTTTTTTTTAAATTATTATTATTATTATTTAAATTTCTGTACTGCTCGTAGCCAAAGCTCTTTGGGCAGTTTACAACAATATTAAACAATAAAATACAATGAATAAAAACATTAATAGACAATAAAACCAGTAAAAAAAACCCAGTTAACTAGGCCCCTGAGTAATTAGGGAAATCTTTAAATGCCTCCATAAAGAGTGCTGTCTTAACCTGGCACCAGAATGATGGCAGATTTGGAGCCAGTCAGGCCGCAGAAGGAAGGTTATTCCAGAGGGGGGGGGCTGCCACCAAAAAGTCCTTCCCCCTAGTTGCCACTCTCCTAGCCTCTCAAGGAGCTGGCACCCAGAGGAAGCCCTCAGAAGTTGAGTGTAGTGTCTGGGTAGCTTGCTGCTGGGAGAGGTGTTCCAACATGTATTGACGTCCCAAGCCATATAGGGCTTTGGAGGTTAAAACCAGCACCTTGAATTGGGACTGGAAACATACAGGCAACCAATGCAGGCAAGCCAGAACTGGTCTTATGTGTTCGCACCTCCAGGGCCCTGCTGCATTCTGCATCAGCTGCAGCTTCTGAACAGTCATTAAGGGCAGCCCCACATAGAGTGCATTGCAGTAATCTAGTCTGGAGATTACCAGAGCATAAATTACTAAAACCAGGATATCCTTTTCCAGACCCTGTCTAGAGCAGGTTGAACACACCCCCCCCAAAAAAAAATCCGGTTAAAGGAATCAACCAAAGGGCAGTCAGTATGTGTCTGTTACATCAGACTTCCTTAAAACAGGGAAAATGAGAATAGCAGTAGTTGGGGGGTGGCATCTTTGTAGCTGAAAAAACTCTCCCACCCTCAGCCTGATTGCCACCTTTTCTACCCACACAGTGCAAGCTGTAAGGAAGTGTGGTTTCTTAGTTATGGTGATATAATGCAAGCAAGTATATGAAGTTTCTACTTGCCTCCTGCTGGGCAGAACAGGATATGTCTGGATTGAGCTTCAGTTTGTTAGCTCTCATCCAGTCCATTATCATAGCCAGACATATCTATAGCCTCAGCTGCCAATGAGGAAAAGGAGAAATAGAGCAGTATGTCATCAGCATATTGATGGCAATGCACTCTGAATGACCCTACTCAGTAGGCCCGTAGCCAGGATTTTTTAATTCAGGGGGAGGGCCCCCCCCCCCAAGCAAGCACCATAAATAAAAAAAAAAGTTGGAAGTTGCAGGGCTGGGATGGATGGGAAGTCATGGAGCCTTGGAGGTAAGTTGGAGGGCCAGGCCCCAACAGGCTCCACTGTAGCTATGGGCCTGCTACTCAGTGGTTTAATGTACATGTTAAATAGCATCGGGGACAGGACAGACCCCTGAGGAACTCCACACTGGAGTCTACAAGGCTGAACAATATTAGCACCACCTTTTGGAGATGGCCCTCCAGAGTTGGAGCAGAACCACTGCAATGCAGTGTCCCCCACTCCCTTCTCAACCAGCTGCTCCAGAAAGATACCATGGTCGATGGTACTGAAAGCTGCCGAGAAGTCCGGTGGTATCAACAGGGTCGCATTCCCCCTGTCTCGCTGCTAGCATAGATCATCATGCTGGGCGGCCAAGGCTGTTTCCATGCCAAAACCAGGCCTGAACCCTGACTGAAGTGGATCCAGATAATCAGATTCATCCAAGAGTGCCTGGAGTTGATTGGCCACCACCCTCTCCAGAACCTTGCCTGGGAAGGGGATATTTGTGACCGGCCTGTAAATGTTCAAATTTTCCGGGACAAGGGAGGATTTCGTAAGAAGTGGTCTCACCACTGCCTATTGAAGGCAGGATGGGACCATTCCCTTTCGCAAGGAGGCATTAATGACCCCTCTGGCCCAGCCAACTGTCCCTCCCTTACTGGCTTTTATAAACCAAGATCTAGTACAGAGGTGGTTGCCCAGACCTGTCCAAACAACTTATCCATGTCCTCGAGCTGTACTGACTGAAACTCATCCAATAAAACTGGAATAGTCTGTGCTCTGGATGGCTCCACTGATTCAACTGCTGAAATGTAATACGTTCTATGAGAAAAATTAGGTCACAGTAAGGTGGTCATAATAAATTATTGTGTAAACCTCACCTGCACATTCATGGAGCTGTTTCTCCCTTATGCTCAAGTCTCTGCTAGTCCTTTCTAGTGGCAATTCATAAATTGACTTTAAGCAATGATGTCCCTCAGCTACAAGTTGCTGGTTTGTAAGATACTACCTCCCTTTTCAGTCTTTACATGCACAGAAGCCTCAAAATTCAAGGTAACTTGCCTGAATTTTGCTCTTTTCAACAGGAAAGCCCTACCACCAAGCAGCCTACTGACAAGTATTTTAAAATCCTACTGACCTTCAAATTTTGCCCGAGTTTTAGATCTGTGGGGACTGCATTAGCAAAACCTGTACTCTTGTTCTTTGAGGGGGTGAACAAACATGTGGACAAGGGGGATCCAATAGATATTGTTTACCTTGACTTCCAGAAAGCTTTTGATAAAGTTCCTCATCAAAGGCTCCTAAGTAAGCTCAAAAATCATGGGATAAAAGGACAAGTCCTTTTATGGATCAAAAACTGGCTAATTAATAGAAAACAGAGAGTGAGTATAACTGGGCAATTTTCTCAGTGGAGGGTAGTAAGCAGTGGGGTAGCGCAGGGATCAGTACTTGGTCCCTTGCTTTTTAACTCGTTCATTAATGATTTGGAGTTGGGAGTAAGCAGTGAAGTGGCTAAATTTGCGGATTATACAAAGTTGTTCAGGGTGGTGAAAACCAGGGAGGATTGTGAGGCACTCCAAAGGGAACTGTCAAGGATGGGCGAGTGGGCGTCAACATGGCAAATGGGGTTCAATGTGGCCAAGTGCAAGGTGATGCACATTGGAGCCAAAAATCCTAAATATAAATACACGTTGATGGGGTCTGAACTGGCAGAGACTGATCAAGAGAGAGATCTTGGAGTTGTAGTAGATAACTCACTGAAAATGTCGAGACAGTGTGTGACTGCAATAAAGAAGGCCAATGCTTTGCTGGGGATTATTAGGAAGGGTATTGAAAACAGATCAGCCAATATCATAATGCCCCTATATAAATCAATGGTGCAACCTCATTTGGAATACTGTGTGCAGTTCTGGTCACCACACCTTAAAAAGGATATTATAGCTTTGGAAAAAGTGCAGAAAAGGGCAACTCGAATGATAAAAGGGTTGGAACACTTTCCCCTATAAAGAAAGGTTAAAGCTCTTAGGGCTCTAACTTGGAGAAATGACAACTGAGGGGTGACATGATTGAGGTTTATAAGATTATGCATGGGATAGAGCAGGTAGAGAAAGAGGTACTTTTCTCCCTTTCTTACAATACAAGAACTCGTGGGCACTCCATGAAATTGCTGAGTGGTCAGGTTAGAACGGATAAAAGGAAGTACTTCTTCACCCAAAGAGTGATTAACACTTGGAATTCACTGCCACAGGAAGTGGTGGCGGCTACAAGCATGGATGGCTTCAAAAGGGAATTAGATAAGCATATGGAGCAGAGGTCCATCGGTGGCTATTAGCCACAAGGTATAGATAGGGACTCTGGGGCAAGCTTGGGGGGTCAACAGTGGGAGGGCGTCTAATGTCCTGGCCCCACTGCTGGACCTCCTGATGGCACCTGGTATTTCTGGCCACTGTGTGATACAGAGTGTTGGACTGGATGGACCTTTGGCCTGATCCAACATTGGCGTCTCTTATGTTCTTATGTTCCTTGTGGTGGAGTGAATGCTCTTAATTCTATTATGCCTCCTTTACCACTGTGCTTTCTTTTAGCTAGCTAGAACAAAAGTGTGCACGTGCTGCCAGATCCTTACCAAAAACGCTCCTTCCCCAATCAGATTGCCACCTCCTCCTCATTTTCAATTCACTCCCAGCTGCCACAATGTAGTGTTTTGACATTTTAACTACTTCCAGAATGATAGATGGTGACATCCCCACATGAATCAAGCACAAGGAGGCAGTCCATCAAAGCAGTGAAGGTTTCAAATGGTACTAATATAGCTCGGGAAGCACCAGAAGGGAAAAGGAATACACTGATAAAAAGAAACTCTGTATCACATTTTAGCAGCATTTCAGGACCATGACCTTTAACTCTGAACTTGCAGCCAGGATTCCATAAGGTCCCATAGTAAATAAGGTTGTCAGTAATGTCAGTAATGCAACAAAGGCAGTATGTTGGAGGGAATCTACTTTAATGATTCTTGGAAACAGGTCACTGGTTAAAAAATGTCATTCTCTTTAGAATGAGGCATGACGGCAAATGTCCACATATTCCACTTGAAGTGCCCAGTCTGTTCCAGTGCAATATAATCACATTAGAAAAATCTAGCAGCACTTGCACAGAGAGCCAGAGGTCAAGAAGAGTCACACAGAGGTGGCCAAAGTGGTAACAGGAACAGAAAAGTACTTGTGCGCTTTACAGTCTTGGAAGCTCAAGGCCTCTTGCTTTGGGGAACGCTACTTCTCTGGTGCTGTTACTTAAAGGCAGAATTAAATGATCGACCAATGACAATCCTTCGCACTTCACTAGTTCCTGCCCCAATTTCATATAGTTTGGCATCTCTCAGGAAACGGCCCATTGGGTAGTCATTGATGTAGCCATTTCCACCTGTAATGTAAAGACAGAACCTAAGAATCCACAGAGAAGCAGAGCTCCTGGATGTAGACTGGTTGCATATGGGTAAACAAAGCTTTTGAGATAAAGATTGTTTACTTCAGTTAAAGCAAAAATTACCTACAACTGAATGGTAGCTACAAGGCAGTGATTAGCACAGGATAACAAGGAGACTGCCTTTAGTTCCAGTGCAAAAAGAGCGCCTGTATGCAAATAAGCATTTAAGCATGAATTAATTATACCTTTGGACAAATCTTCAAGGCAGCAGTTAAATAACAGGCTACGGATAGGGTAACAACCTTATCTTTGCCATATAGCAAATATAATAAATGGTAATCATGTCAACATACTGGAAAGTATGAAATCAATGGAGAAATAAAAGAAAATCTTATAGAAGAATATAAATCACAACTGAATAAAAATGGGTGTTCTGCCTTTATCCAACAGTCTCTTAACTTGGGATCACAAGAGGGGTCACAGTCTAACTAGTGTGTGACAAGAAAGCAAGAAACTGTGACAAACCAATGCTAAATACTAATAAAGATTTGTAAAACTAAGTATTATTTTCTCAAAGACTTATCATAAGCGTATTTTTCTATATGCCATTACAGGATCACACTTGTCATATCTCAATACTTGAAGTATAGTACTTGTCATATTATACTGAGATATACTGAGAAATTATTGAGATATAATATGACAAGTGTGATCCTGTAATGGCATATTGAAAAAAATATGATAAGTTCTTGAAAAAATAATACAGAATGCTTCGTTTTACAAATCTTTTAGTATTTAGAATTGGTTTGCCACAGTTTCTCGGATCACACTTGTCATATCTCAATACTTGAAGTATAGTACTTGTCATATTATACTGAGATATACTGAGAAATTATTGAGATATAATATGACAAGTGTGATCCTGTAATGGCATATTGAAAAAAATACGATAAGTTCTTGAAAAAATAATACAGAGTGCTTCGTTTCACAAATCTTTTAGTATTTAGCATTGGTTTGCCACAGTTTCTTGCTTTCTTGTCTTAACTAGGGATGGCAGCTTTTAAAATAGTTTCTCTAGCTGTCCCTTTAATACCAGATTGATCTGCAGCAAAATCTAGGTTATGTTATTTACCTCCATGCCATGAAAAATTTACCTATCCACTTTCATACATTAACCTCCTGGCGAAGGGAAAGGATGTTTTCCCCGGCCAGGTGGCAACCCTCCTCCTCCTCACTAGATTGCCTCTCAGTGGGCCAACAGAATTGGGATGTTTTCCCCGGCCAGGTGGCAACCCTCTTCCTCACTAGATTGCGTCTCAGTGGGCCAATAGAATTGACAGTCTTACCCAGACACTGGATTCCATCCAAAGCAACTTGAGTAGCACATTCTGCAGAGTAGAGAATCACTCCTGCACAGTCCTAATAAAAGGGATAAGATCATTTACACAAACAGTAAAACTTCCGGCTTCAATACACAGCCTCTCCAGCCAGGTCCATTTTCCCATACATATTGGCAGATCTAGGGGCCGTGGTGGCTCAGGGGTTAAGATGCTGAGCTGCAGACCAGACGGGCTGTAGTTCGGCACTTCGAGACCCGAGTGCCACATGACAGAGTGCGCTCCCGTCTCTGGCCCCAGCTCCTGCCAACCTAGCAGTTTGAAAGCAAGCAATTGCAAGTAGATAAATAGGTACCGCTTTGGTGGGAAGGTAAGAGCGTTCCATGTGCCTCAGCATTTAGTCATGCCGGCCACATGACCACGGAAATGTCTTCGGACAGCACTGGCTCTTTGACTTGGAAAAGGAGATGAGCACCGCCCCCTAGAGTCGGATTCGACTAGGTTTCAAGCAAGGGAAACCTTTACCTTTTTATCTAAACTTATCTCCCCTGTTAATCAAGATTCAAATTAATCTGAAGGGTCATAGATATGCACCCTTTTCTTCTGCAACAAGAGCCCTATAAGCCCTGCAAGGGTGAACACCAGCCCTCTCCCATCTACTCCTCCAAACTTTATTCCATGCCCAGGTGATGTACGCAGAAGGTAAGAAAGTAAATAATAATTGCCACATTTAAAGCATACATAGTTAAGAGTTAGAGATGACATCACAGCTACTTCTAGTACTTGGATAATAGGAACGCTGTATGTTATACCAGTAAGTAAAAAAAATCCCATTGCCACGTGGTCCAGGAAGTTGTCTTCTTCAAAGAAACAGAGCTCACCTTTGCACTGAAATGTCCTTGATCACAGGCTTTTGCTACATTGTAGGCATACTGTCGACACGCCGTCAGCCGTGTGTACATGTCAGCCATTTTACCCTGCATAAGCTTAACAGTATAGGGAGGTGGGGAAAGAAGAGAATGCTTGAATGAAAAATAAATCTAGTATATGGAAAAAGCAAACAAGGAGCAGAACCTTGACATGACATTTAGGGTAGAAGAATGGGAAATGGAATGCTTTGCAGCAGCCAATTCTTCAATTTGGCTTAGGTAAGATTAAAGAAATATGAACTAGATCTACAACAGATGGTAATCTCTGTGTCTGGATGTCATGTCAAGGTTGCTTTCTCTTTCTCTGTGAAGCTCCATTCCACACGCAGATGCACGCCCAGACTTCTTAGGAAGACAAGTTCACTTTCTACTGCTGTCCATATTGCAAGGTCAATCAGAAGCTACAATAACTGTGTTAGATGAGCGTTAGCACCCATTCTTTCCAAATGAAGACTGTTCTTCCAGTGGGACTGAGCTATGATAGTGAGAGATTCAGCACCATTTCAACAGTAGTAGTAGTAAACAGTAGTAAATTTACAGGGTAAAGACAACTTATGACTCCAAATCCCAAGCTTGAACTTGAAGTTGTGAGCAGTAACCAGATAAGTTCTTTTAAACTTTCACTGAGTGTCATAATGAGCAAACCCAACCCAAACTCTGATCAGATTTCCCTGCCACTAAGTTTCTGAACGAGGGCATCTGAAGTTTCAGCAGTACTTCAGTAAGAGTACTGCAGTAAGAGGAAATCATTAGTTTTTGTTCTGCATGTTAGTCAACAAGCCAAATCAAAACTTTGGTGGAAACACCCTGATAAGAGAAATTAATCCAAAATCCTTTTCATGGCTTATGACAAGTGCAAAGGAAAAAGGATTTGGTCAAGCTACTGAAGCATGCTCTAGGAGTTCAAAGACTACACACTGCTTGCTCTTACCTGGAAATGGCCAATTTTCTGTCCAAACGCTTCTCTCACATGTAAATAAGGCAAAGCATGATCAAGGACAGCCTGCATGATTCTGCCAAGGAAACAGACACTCAGTGACATAGGGTGTTTAAGGGTAAGGAAAAACTATTACTGACCCAGTGGTGACTAAGAAGTGCTGAGCTGTTGGAATGATCATGTTGGGGTGTTTAAAGGCATGGATATACATCTGCATCTCCTGATACAGGAAATGTTGCAAAATTCCATGAACTTAACAACCCTTACCTCCTTTATCTTCCTTGAAAGATAGAAGATCTTCTATTTCAAGGCCACATTCTCCTGATGTAAAAATCACAATGAACACCAGAATAATGTACAACTTAGGTCAAGGGAGGAGGAAAGGATGTATCTTCTAAGAGGAGGGCAATGTGGTCTCTGTGGTCAAAGGAGTAGCATTGTTGTTTTCCTGTAGCCAACACAGCAAAGCCTTGTGGCATCTTAAGGACTAAACACATGCAATGTGGCACTTGGTTTCATGGACTAAAGCCCACTTTGTCAGATGCGTGAAGTACGCTATTCTATTGGCAGACTGTGCTGTGGTGAAAACTGAACAAGGGTGTGGTATGAGAAGTTATTACAAAGGATGGTCAGAAGGCCCAAAGATCCAAGGTGTAGGCATATTTCACTGCAGAACAAAGATTACAAAAGCCAGGTCAAAGAATACATTATTTCCAAATACAGTGAGTGTGGACCACTCTCAGCCAAAGATGAATTGACAATGAATAGCATGCCTCAACCTGTCAAGAGGGACATCTAATTTCTATAGTGATCTTGCCACTACAGTCAAAACCAAGTGCAAGCCTAACAGTGTCAAAACTGCACATAAATTTCTACTCAGAGGTTTCATGATGGAGAACCTTAGAGAAAGGCTAGGTTGTTATGAGGGAGAGGCGGGAAAGAGGAACAGCTAGAGGGAGATACAGAGTGGTAAAATGAGATCATCTTCTGAGTCCTCATGGGTCCCTCATCTATATTGTTTTATATATACCACCTGAATGAATGTTCATGCATCTGATACAGTAATTTATTAAGCAACAATTGTTTTCCATCCTGTAAAAAATTCTAAGTAGAACATTAGATTTACCTTTGTTGCCATCAAGTCTCTTATTCTGGTATATGTGCCTGCCTCCTCTTCAGCCTGCCAGTGACCAACTCCTCTCTGTGAGTCACAATCCCCCAAACAAGTGACTTCCTGAGTTCTGCTAATCAGTACCTTCACTAAAAATGCCTTTAGATGTCACTCTATCCAAGTATCCAAGTACTTCGTCTAAACTTGCATTAGGAGCTTTGCCAATTTGCCAAAGATTCCTTGGTTGTGTCACTTGTGTGGACGACTGCCCAGTGTCTATTATTTATTCCATTTTTTACTCCACCTTTCCTCCGAACAATTCAGGGCACCCTCTCCCGAATCATCCTCACTACAATCTTGAGAGGCAGATTAGGCTGAGAGAATGTGAGTGGCCCAGGATCACCCTGTGAGCTTCATGGCCAAGCGGTGAACTGAACTCCGGTCTTCCAAATCCTAATCCAACAGTCTAGCTTGACCTAAGTGTGAAACCTCATCCAGCAGCTTCTTGAAGCGAGAGGCGGAAGGAGGAAGGTTCTCACCTATATTCAGGCTGCCTAGTGTTAAGTTGGGACCAGTGGAAAGTAAGCCCCATTCATGCAGACCTATTCTAGAGTTAACAGGGGTCTCACTAAGCCATCTAAGGCCTATCTGCACAGCTTTCCATCTCTAGGGCAGTTTCCCACCCCCATCTCTTTGAAGGAACAGCACGAAGAAATCCACAGCAGGGAAAAAGGAGGAGTGCATTTCTGAGCCAATCAAGGCTGTTGTCGCTATTGTTTTGTTCCCCCAAAATAACACACCCAGAATAAAAGATGGCATCTTTTAATGGGCCAACACTAGAGATTGCTTTTTAATTCTTTACCTGGATATTAAGAAAACGAACCAGTAGTTCAAAGGAATTCCATTAGATTTCCATCAATAGAAATGGAGTCCACAACTACCAGAGCAGAACTACTAAGACATATATATTAATGTGGAACTGTTCAACAAATGTCATGAGTTTCAGAATATAGGAAAAATGTTTATCTTAAAGTCTTCTCCTTGGGAAAAATCATACATGCTGCAGCCGCCCAAACAGGCAGTCTTTCTGTGAAATGCTCCATGTGGGAGCCATTTAAAGTCACAGCAGTGATTTTTTTTCCCAACTGCCACCATTACACATAGTGTGGTAGCCTTGTGGTTAGCCCCAATGTGGTATTACTGATCCAGGCTGATAGTACCCCTCCACAGGAATACTTTCCAACCATAAGCATGGTATTGGCTCCATAGGCTCCTAAAGTCAACTGAGTGAGGGCTTCCAGGGATATCAATGGGCTCCTTTACTAGGTTTCTTGAAAATTTAAAGCACAAAGAACCTTCCAAGTGGAATAAGGGAGATAAAAAGATTAAGTTAAATGGAAAAGTAATCTCTCTTCTCAGTCGGAATAATTTCCCCCTGCAAGGAACATGGGTGTATTTAAGTGACAATGAATTATCATCACGATTACTGTCACAAATGGAAAAAACTGGTGACACAGAACAAGGTACACAGCTATATTGATAAATGAATATATATTTACCCCAGTGGTCCACCACACAACACGAGTCTCTCCAGATCCAAGCCACTCATTAACACATAGACTCCTTTATTCAAGTGCCCCAGGACATTTGCAACTGCAAGAAGCAAAGGAAACATACGCTGTGCCTGTCAGAGATTTATGCACAATCACACAAAATTACTTCATGTATTCAACAGGCCCTTTTATTCTCAAGCCCCACAAGGGAGAAATACATTTATTCAAGATGACAAAATGTCTTTAAGGTATTACAAGTGTTGACATAGCCAATGAGGGACAATCAAGATTGAATTGGGAGTGACGGAAAATTGTTACAATGTAATCAACAAAGCACCTTTTATTAAGACTAACCAAAACACCAAACATGTTTGATCTTGGCCTGAAACATCTGCCCCCCCCCCCAGCCTGATAAAGAATCTGAGCAACTTGAAGGTTTGCCTACCATCATGTGTTATTTCGGTTGATGTTAATACAAGATTTCACATGGCTATTGTTTTGGGATTTTATTTTGGATGCATGCAAGTTCCTGCAATGTCTTGTTAATTGTGTTGTGATTAAGAGGGTACTTAATGAGGAAGGATTGCAGGTGTCTGATACAGGAATGGGATTTGGACATGGAGTCTAAAATATTTATTATATCAGTGTCAGATTTGTATACATTCATCCATTTGACTGGGCTCAGCAGAGTTGCCAGCATTCTGTGTTTTGAGGTCCCAAATTTAGCACAATTAAAACAACTTATTTTGCATAAAATTATCTCATTTCTGCTAATAATGAGGGCACTGAAGCCTTTCCCCTTGACCAATGGAAATCCTGCTTGGTCCCAAATTAGCTTGAAGAACCTACCATGTATTGGGTTGGACCCTATCTTACTGCTGAGTAAATATACATAAGTTATTTTTGCCCCCTTTCCTCCCAAGTCCAAAGCATCCCTGAAAAGCTCTTCCAGAGGGTCAGGAACCTTTGAGAACAAAGTGGGATGTGGTGTTTGGGATGCAGCCAAATGTGAGAATTATCAGGAATTCCACCCTCACCCCCCATAGCCCTGGATACACTCATGTGAAGGAGTGTGTGTGTTTTCCTGACATTTCCTCCTTCAGGCTGCAGCTCCACACCGCATGTGTAAGATAGCTAAAAGGAGAGACTCACAAAGTGCTTTGTGCAATGCAAAAGAGAAGGTTAAGAAACAGAACAGAAACATTTGAATTTGCAGAAAGTACCTGGAGGGTGACCCGAACCACTACGCCCCAGGCAAAAATGAAAGATGGGATTTCAGAGCCTCTTCTGGCCATTGCTACATGACCTAAGAATGTGACTCCACGGGTAGTTTTTGCTATCAAAGGAACCAGCACTGCTGAAACAGCACCATGAACTAATATAGCAGACAAGGTTGTAACACTAAAGTACACTTTGATCTTAAAGGGAAAAATTCTTCCAAGCATGAGAAACAAGTGATGTGGCCAGATCTCTACCCTGGGAGGATCAGGGACAGCAGTAATGGTTCAACAAAAGCACAAGTCTTTGGCGCTGTTACCGATCTCTTTCACTGAGCCCAGGACAAAGATTCTGTTGCCATGAGAACTTTGTGGTGGTAAGGACCAGAACACACATTAAGTAATAAATAAATAAATAAAGGGAAAAATTCTTCCCAGCATGAGAAACATTTCTGACCTTACAGTGCAAGCCTGCAATGCAAAGCATTACACTAGGGAAA